CCCCAACCCTACCCGCCCCCCTCCCCCGCCCCCCTCCCCCTCCCCCTCCCCCCTCCCCCCCCTCCCCCCCCCCCCCCCCCCACCCTCCCCCCACCACCCCCATCATGTACACAGGACCGCGGTTCGCGGCACCCGAGGGGCGGTACCTGCTTGACGCCGAGTTCCGCCACACCTCAAGAGGGCGGCTGCGGGCACGCCAGGCAGGTACAGCGGTGACCGTCATTCCGCGGCCACGACCCTCGCTCTGCTCTCTCTCGCTCTCCTCGCGATCGTCCTCGCCAGCTGATGCCGGTGGCTCTGTTGCCCCGCATACGGCTCACACTCGCGCCGCGCAAGCAAACCTTGCCGCTCATCATCACACCCACTCACTCGGTAGTCTTCCCCTGCCGCCACCGCCGCCGCCCATGAACCTGGTCTTCAACCACGGCTACGCGCTGTATGTGTACGCTGTGGCAAACAGTGACGATACTGCAGCCACAGTCGCTGCCGCAGAGGCCGATTCCGTTCTGACCGCTGCCGATCGGGCTGGCGATGCTCTGCACCCACCGTCGCCGCCGCGTGGCGATGCCGCCGCCGCCGCTGCGCCCGACGACGTTGCGCTCGCAGACGAACCCGCAACCGCCGCCGAGCGGGTCGACTCGGAACCACTCATTGGCGCCGGCCACCACGAGGCGCGCGAGCCGGCACTGCTGCACGGCTCTGCGCCACGACTGGTGGCCAGCTGCGTCGACACGCTGCGCTTCCGCGCCTTGCCTACCTGCCACGCCGCGCTGGTGAGCATGCCGGTCATCACACCTATGCCGGCGGCCGCAGTAGTAGGCGGCGAGTCCAGTGTCGGTGCCGCGCCTTCGGAGCTCCGGCTTTCGTCGGCACTGCCTGCGTCGCTTCCTCGGACGCTGGCCACACCGACCGAGCCCGAGTCACTCGGGCCGGTGGCGGCGCCGGACATGCCGCCGCCGCATGCGGTGCTGGCCTCGGTCGAGCCGCCCGACGCCGCCCCGCTCATTCTGGGGTTTTCCACAGGCGAGATCCTAGTTCTTCACTCGCTCTCGCCACCGTCGTCGACACTCCTCAACAAGCTCGCTGCCGCCGACGGCACCGCTGTTGTCGCCCTCGCGGTCGTTCCAGGCTCGGGCTCAGAGGCTGGCCCGGCCGACCACTTTGTCGCCGCGCATGCCTCGGGCGCGGTCTATGAGTACACACTCTCCGGCCATGAGACCTCGTTCCGTGGCTGGAGTCCACCCATGGACCTCGGGTGCGGCGTGAGCGTCGCTGACGCGCGCTCGTCGTCGCGCACGCCCTGCGTCAAATGGCGCTTTGGCGACGAGGGCATCGCCGTCTCCAGCCTCGCCTTTGCGCCCGACGGCTGCCACATTGCTGTCGGCCTTGCCTCGGGCGCCTTGCACGTCGTCGACTTTTGCAACCGCAAGCGCCTCGCGGGCTGGGCTTCGTACTTTGGCTCGGTCGAGTGCCTCGCCTGGTCACCGGACTCGGTCCTTCTCGCCGCCGGTGGGCAGGACGACATGATCACTCTTTACATGCCGCATGCCGGCGGAGGGCTTCCCGTCCTCCGCTGCATGGGGCACCAGTCGTGGCCGTCGGCGCTCGCCTTTGACTCGGCCCCGCTCGATGGCGCCTACCGCCTCCTCTCCATCGGCCAAGATACTTTGCTTATGATGTGGGACCTGCCGGCCGCAGACATGGACGCCGTGGTCGAGAACGCCGCAGGCAGCCTCCGAAACCGCCCGTTTGCCCAGGACTGGCTCACGCCCGCCGCACCCATGGACGACCTCCTTGTCCTGGAGCCGACGCTCTCTCACGACGTCGCCGCCGCCCCGCTCACTGGCCTCGCCCTCACCAGCCATCACGTCGTCACCGCCGACGACTCGGGCACGGTCCGCCTTTGGCTCCGTCCGCCGTCCGCCGTTGCCGCCGCCGTCGCTCCGCCTGCACACCACGACGCCACCGCCTTTCCTACCCCTGTCCACTCGCCTGACGACACGCTCTCAAACTCGATTGTCTCACCGACCAAGGTCTCGCTCATGTGGTGAGCAAGTGAAACTCTGCGGCTCACCCCGACGCCCGCGCCGCATCGGCGTCCTCGTCTAGCTCGCGTATGCCGTCCGAGTGCATTCGGACGCCAGCCATTTCCAGCAGCGCCCGCACATCCTTGTTGCCAGCCAGCACCGAGCCATCGCCAGCCGCCGCGGCTTCGGCCGCAGCCTCAGCCGCCGCTACCATGGCGCTGCGGTCAACAGCGTAGACGTCGAGCGAGACGAGCTCGAACGTCGCGCTCGCGGCGTCGGCCCCGTGCAGCTGTGGCGAGCCAAACGTCGAACACGTCCGCGACTCGCCGGTCTCAAACGAGGCGTCCACAAAGAGGCCAAAGAACTTGAGCTGCCCACCCATCCCCAGCCCGTTGGGCAGCGTCTGCGTCCCGTGGTTAAAGTACTGATAGTGGTCGTTGCGCCCGGTGGCGTGCCACACCTCGAGCTGCGTCGCCGCAGGCGAGCAGGCAAACACAAACGCGTTGCCAGTACCATAGAATGACGGTCCCGGCGCACGCCATGAGCTTGGCGCGTAGCCGCCAATCACCACACCAGTCCGGGTGCAGACAAAGACAAGCGTTGGCCCGGCCGCCACAATCGTCCGCGCCACGTGGAAGCACGAGCGTCCGTCACGCGCGCTCGAGTACCGCGGAATCCACTCGCGGCACTGCGCGGCCGGGAGATGGCCCGTCAGCATCCATACCAGAAGCGCCGAGACCCGCGCGCCGAGAACGTCACGCCCGATGCCTTCCACCCCATCCACCACCCCGCTAGGCACCTTGTACCACTCCTCATCGAGGAGCCACGCCCCAAGCTGGGCCACGACGGCGTCGCGTCGGATCGAGCCCGATCCCGCCGCCATTTCCGCCGCTGCCGCCGCGTCGTCGTCGCTGGTTGCAGCCACTTCATCCAGCCGCGCCAGCGCAACCACCACCGCGGCAGGCACCGGGCTCGGCAGCGCAAAGCTGGCGCCGGTCTCCGGATGCGAGTCCAAGACGAGCGCAGCGGCAGCGATGAGCCAGCCGTAGAGGTCGATCGTGGCCTCGCGAGGGAGGCCTACCACGATCAGAGCAGCCACTTCCTCCGGCATTCCCCGCAGCGCCATCATGGCATCCACCAGCCCAGCCACTGTGGCATTCGACTTGGCCAGGACTGCCATCTGTGCCTTGGCTGCCTCCCTCCCGACCGCGGCCCGGAACACCTCGACCACCGCGGCCGTCCGCTCCTCGCCCAGCCTTTCCATAGCCACCACCGCCGCTGGTGGAGCCTTCTTTGATCCGTTTCCACCCATGCCCGTCACCCGTTGCCGGTGGAAGAGGCAGAGAGAAGTAGCTGCGGTGGTGGCTGCGGTGGTGGTGCCCTGCCGAAGGAGAGGAGGAGACACAGCTCAGGCCAGAGTCGAGCTGATGAGACATGGATCGGACTCATCGGGCTTGTACTCGGCCCATGGCCTGAACTCAAAAGGTCCCACATGTAGCTCTGTACAGGGCACGCTGTTCAAGCCGCTGGTCGCATCAGAGTCGGCTGGGCTCATCGCGCCGTGGTGAGCGAGTCGGTCGGTTGGTCGCCCGGTCTCTCCCCTCCCCCTGCCTCACCCCGCCCTCCTATCCACCTCTCGCCTCTGCTGATGAGCACACCGCAAAGCCCCCGCACACCAGGGCGGAGTGTGGCGTACATACGGGCGCACACTCAGAGCCGCCATGGACAGCGAGGGTGGAGCTCCGGGAGCAGGGGGGCAGCCGCCCCGCCGCGGACGGTCTCGGCGCTGAGGCTCGACTCGGGCTCGGCCCGACGGCTCTCGGTGGCGCGAAACGAGTACATCCGGAGTGACGGAGCGGCGCTGGTGGCAAAGGCGCTCGAGGCTCGCCCGGGCGAGATCAAGCTCGCTGCGACGTGCAAGCATGTGGTGGACGAGATCATCGAGTCGGAGAGCAAGTATGTGGCCGACATGCGCATGGTCATCGATGAGTTCCGCGAGCCGCTTCTCCGCGGCGCCTTTGTCGACGCCTCGGTCGTCGCCCGTGTCTTTCTCAACCTCCCGCAGCTTGTCGCCGCCAACGAGGAGGTTCTCCGCCGCATGACCGCATCGTCGTTTGCCCACACCCGCGGGCTGTCGCCTCGGCCGTCCTCTCCATGGTCCCGTTCCTCCGCCTCTACGCACACTACATGGAGCACCATCTGCGCTCGCTCCGCACTCTCCACGAGATCAGAGCCCAGCCACGGGTGGCCAAGTTCCTTGCCCAGCGCCGTGAGCTACTCCGCGGCCTAGATCTGTCAGACTACCTGGTCAAGCCCATGCAGCGCCTGTGCAAGTACCCGATCCTCTTCAACCAGCTCCTCAAGGCCATCCCTGCAGACTCGCCCGACGCCACACTCGTTGCCGACGCCGCCGACGCCATGGACTCTGTTGTCCGCGACGTCAACGAGAAGAAGCGTGACTCGGAAAACCGCTTCCGCATGGTCTCCATCCAGGCTGCCCTCGGCCACGCGCTACAGCTCTCGACGCCGACTCGCAGGTTTGTGGCCCAGCTCAACTGCAGCTACCAGCCCGACGGCGCGACCACACGTCCACTCCATCTCACTCTCTTTGCCTTCAATGACCTGTTCGTCCTCGCCAAGCGCTCGCGCAGCCTCCGCCGCCTTGCCAAGGAGTCGTACACACTCAAGCGCGCGGTCGCCCTCGACCAAGTCTCGCTCGCATGCTCGACCACCGCTGCCAATGCACTGCGGGTTCTCTCCGACACTCTGGGTGACTCTTTTACCATCACCATCAAGCCCACGCCGGCGGGCCGCCGCCCCGCGCTGCTCGGCCGCGACGACGCCTCATCCGCCGACGGCGACGTGCGGACATTGGCAGGCCTCGCCGGCGCGCTGGCCGACCACGGCGTCCACGTCCACGCCACCGAGCTCGCTGGCCGCCAGTCGCTGGCTTCGTCGCGGGTGGCCGAGACCGACTCAGAGTCGGGCTACGACGACGTGTTCTTTGAGCCGTGGGATGCAGACGTCGTGAGTCCGCCGCCGAGCCTCGCCGTTCCATCGTCGCTCCGCGGCTCGCGGACGCGGTCGGCCTCGCCCGACGCGGTCGCTCCCATAGCGACCCGAAACAGCAGCGGAGCCGCCGGCGAAAGTGGCCGCCGCAAGACCCGCCGCCTCTCGTTCAACGTAGACTCGAATGGACCGGGTGCCACCCACCGCAGCCGCTCGCTCACCTTTTCGGCCCGCAGCACCAGCGGAGTGATGGCGGCAAATGCCGACCTGGCGCGCAACCTCACCGCCGAGGCCGTCGTTGCCGCCGCTGCTGCAGAGGCCCGCCGGACCGAGCACTCCCTTGTCGACACCTACCTCCGGCGCTGCCTGCACCTCCTTGACAACTCACTTGTTCACTCGGATGTCCAGTATGCGCGCATCATGGACGGCTTGCTGGCACCTGGCGATGCGCCGCCGGCTCCCGACGTCCTTCGCCACCAGGCCGAGCGCCGGCGGAAGCTCGCCGCCACAGATCCAACCCGCCTCCTTCGCAACGCCAACAAGACCGACGCCCACAACAGGCTCATTCGGCTTGCCTCGCCCTGCCGGCGCTCGGGCGAGGACGAGTCGGACGCCGAGCCATCGTACCTCGACCTCTACGTCGCCGCCCGTGCCGAGGACGACGGCGGTTCCGAGTCGGAGATGGAGGACGTTGCCATCGGCGCGTTGTCTGGCGATTCGGACAGTGCCGGGAAGAGCGATGGCGGCGAGGTGCTCGGCGGGACCGAGGCCTCGGTCTTTGAGGGCGAGTCTGTCTCAGTTCTTCCCATTGGCGCCGCCACCTGCGTCCTCGACCGCGAGCTGCGGGCGATGCCGGCGACCGAGCTCGAGCGTGCGCTGGCCGCCGCCGCATCGGGCGTTCGTCTCATCAAGCACACCCGCGCTGGCGCCGGCCGGCCCGAGTGGCGGACCTTCCGCATCGACTTTACTACCTTCCGGGTGCTGTGGGGCAAAGGCCGTGTGCCCGCAGCGTGGAAGCAGGCCTCGCCGACCCGCATCGTTCCCGGCTCCATTCCGCCGGTACTAGACCCGCCGCGGCTCGCCGCCCGCCTCGAAGATCTCGGCGCCGACCCGGGAGCATGGGCTTCAGCATCGTACGCGCTCGAGGTTCTGACAGCGCCCGGCCTCTCCACCAAGTACCGTTCGCTGGCCGCTCCACCGGCGACTCTCGACGCCGTCGCCTCTGTCGCTGCCGCCACCGACGAGCCCGAGTGGGTTGGATCCCGGACGCTGTGGTGCATCGCTGCCTCGGCCAGCGACGCCCGAATCTGGAGCCTCGCCTTTACCTTTGCCATCGGCGCCGCACGCCATCGCAGCGCCGTCGCCGATGGCAGTGACGAGTAGTGAACTGGGACTGGGCGCGTGCGGCACAGCGTTTATCAATCTCCAGCTCTCTCTACATCATCATCTTGCGGGTAAAGTCCATGTAGTTGACGTTGCCCTCCGAGTCGATGCGCGACTCGGCGAGCATGGCCTCGGCTTCCTTGGCAGAGAGGTTGTCGCCAAGAGTGGTCATGATCCGTGACAGCTCCTTGGCAGCAATGCACCCAGTCCCGTGCTTGTCAAAGATGCGGAAGGCCTCGACAAGCTCCTCTGGGTTCTCCACCGTCTTTTGGCAGAGCCGAGTCGCCGACATGACCTGCGCAAACTCGAGGTACATCTCCTCGTTGACGTTCATGTTCTCGTAGATCTCGTCGACCTCGTCTTCAGTCGGGTTGAAGCCGACACAGCGAAGGACATTGATGAGGTCCTTGCCGGGCAGCTTGGAGTTCTGCCGGCACCACACATCAAAGGCCTCGCGGACCTCACGCTCAGTAACAGACGACGACGATGCCTGTAAACCCGAACACACACACACACACACATCCACACACACATCCACACATCCGCATTCAATAAGTTCCCACCTGCGAGCACGCACGCAGGGAGCGGATTCACCTGAAACCGCCGAAAAAAACGCATGCGAAGCCAAAGCAACAGCCTCACGCCACACACCTGGGCATGGTCCACAGGGTGGCCCCAACCGGTGCAGCTGGAGCCCCTCTCCCCCCTCCCCCTTATTTTCCGACGCATGCTCTCTCCCAGCCCACTCGCATGGTCCTTCCCATCGTCCCCCTCCCCTGCTTGCTCCCCCTCCTCCCCCTCCTCCCCCCCCCAGGTCACCTACCATGGCTGGTCAAGAAAGGGGTGTTGCCCAAATAGTAAAAGCAAGAGCCCTTCGCCCGAACTCGTCGTCACCTGCTGGAAATTCCGATTGCCCGCCAACCAACAAACGGATGGTCGGCTGAGCGAGCAGAGCGAGTTGGCTTGGCTGGCTTACCACCACGTTGCCTTTATTGAGGCAAGGGAGTGATCCTGCTCCCAGCTCCACACTTGGGCACTCTCCACCTACTCTCGCTGTTGGACTCGTTCTCAGCGAGTCAGACATAGAGAGGCACATCTGCACACCCGCTGCACCGGGACCGTCTCTGGAGGCCAGCGTAATCGTGCTCGCTCGAGCTGGAGTAGGAAAATCCGTGAGCTTGGTGTCGGGCACGTCCGAGTGGGCGACAAAGTCTGGGAAGACGGAGCCGCTGCTTGCGGGTATGCCGAGAGCTGCGGGGCAGAGGTCGCGCCTCAAGGGACGCAAGGAGAAGGTGTACAATAATGTGGTGAGCCAGGACCAGGCGCTTCCGCCAGGCTCGGACGTGGTGGCGTTTGTGAGCCGACCCAAGGTGGTGGCCATCCGCACAGTCGGAGGTGACAGCCATGAACAGTCGCTGCGAGGCGGGAGCAAGCGGCAGAAAAGGCTCGACGGGAGCAGCTTCAGACTGGCTGCCCCTCACCCTCCACCGCCCTGCGACTCTCATCCCATGGCAGATCTCGAGGCTGCCCTTGGTACATCGGCCATGGCCCGGCTTGCGGCGCTGCTTGCGCGGGCCGAGGACGGCGATGCCAACAACGACGACGAGGGCGCGAGCAGCGGGCGGGCCGGGCGCGGGCAGCGCGCCAGTGGCAAAAAACCGCACCAGCGTGTCACCAAGCGATGCCTGCCGGCGGTCATTTCGACGGCACAGACGCTGCCGGACGGGACGATGCTCATGCGACGAGTTGTGGAGCGATTTTCCCGGCCGCCGCTCTCGCCGCGAATCCAGGCCATTGTTGATAGAGCGTCGGCGGCCAACGCCGCGGCGTTGGGTGCGAGCGGAGCAGCGAAAGCCTCGCCCCACCAGGCTTGCGGCCGCGAGGTACCGCAAACTCAAGGCAGCAGAGGCAGGAGCTCGTCAAGCAAGTCGACGCGACCACGTCCCTCGGGCCGGGTGGCGTCCGAAGCCATCGGGGCCATGACGGTGGACGAGGCATGCGAGCGAATGGACGAGATTGAGGCACTGCTGCACAATCTCCCCGAGTCGCTGCAAATCCAGGTACGGCAGCAGTACAGTGTGCTGCGCCAGGTCAACCCGGCGCACTCTTTGTACATGTGCCCTGCGTGCCCGTACGGGACGGCCAAGGCAACCAACATCAAGCGGCACCGACAGTCGTTTAACCACTTTGGCGCCGAGGCCGGTATTTCTCCCATCCAGCTGATTAAGGTCAAGCTGCCGCCGATCCATGTGCGCGGGGAGGCGCGGGCCGCGCAGGTGAAGGCGGCGCTGGCAAAGCAGGCGCGCAAGCTCAAGGCAATGGCAGCAGGGCGGTATGCGTAGCAAGAGTCCGATGTTCATTCCGAGGCGGGCAGAGACGACTGCAGCCCAGGGTCACCAATCGTCGAGGTAGATGCACTTTGCGGGCGAGATGATGCCGTCTTCGTGACAGTCGCCAAAGACCGGACAGTGGCCACAAGGCGTGTGCGTAAAGCCATTGTACGTCGGAACCGACTGTGGGGCACAGACAAAGGTGGACTCGTCCAAGCGGGCGACTTCGCCGGTGCGGATGAGCAGTTCGATGAGCTCCTGGACGTTGACGAGGGCGAGCGGCGGCTTGATGGCCTCGTGGCTGGCGAGGTGGGCAGCGACGTCCTCGGCGGTGACCGATGACCGACTCTGGATGAACTGCAGGACAACTGAGGAGACGTTGTCAACAAAACCGATCAACTCCTGGTTGGTGTACCACACGTCCGAGGTGTCGACGACCGGCTCGAGCGAATACAGCATGTACATCTTGCGCGACTTGGAGCTTGCGGGCTTGAAGGTGCGGATGAGCTGGACCGAGACGAGCTTGGCAAGCGCCTTGTCGATGACCGACTTGTGCAAACCAGTCTTATACTTGAGATCCTTTGTCCAAATACCCTCGCGTTGTGTCTCCTCCACCGCCTGGAACACGAGCTTCTCCTCGTTGCTCAGCCGGGCCATCTTCTGAGCCTGGACCTGCTCCTCGGCGGAGTTGAGATGCAAGCTCATCGAGTCGCCCTGCTGCATGAGCACCACCTGGAACGTTGCCATCAAGTGGTTGATCAGCTTGGTCGACGTGTCATACGGCACGCCATTCTCCTTCAGCATCCCGGTCAGCGTCATCGAGTCCATGTCCCCACCCGCCAGCGTCTCCTTCACCAACTCCACCATCGACGACCACTGCAGACCAAACTCAAGCACGACGACCACCATACAGCGCATACGAGAGTAGTGCGGCCACCATGACCACCATACAGCGCATTCGTGAGTTGCGCAGCCGCCTTCAAGCCCCCTTCCCCCCCCCCCCCCCCCCCCTTGGTCTGCCCTCCATCTACGGCTTCGACGCGCCACCCTCCACCCCCCACCCACCCCCAGCCCACCCACCCCCCAGCCTCTCGGCTCCACCCATTCACGTACATCTTCCCCCGGAGGCGCCAGTGGCTTCCGCTCAGCTGCCATGGTGGCGTTGTCTGTGCCACTCGAGTCGCGTCGGGTGTCGTGCGTGGTGGCTGGTGTCGTGGTGGCAGCGGTGGCCGTGGCACTCTATCTCTGGCTCTTGGGCTGGCGGCTGGCTGGCTGGCTGGCTTGGCTGGCTTTGGCGTCATCGTCTTGTCTTTAACCTCCGCTGGCAGAGTGGGCCACAACCTGGCCATCTTGGTACGTTAGTACGCAGTCTCAATGCGCTCGATGCTCTGCGGCTCGATGCCCTGCTTGTAGAGCTGGAGCTTGATGGCGGTGATATTGTCGCGGTCGATGCCCAGGTCGTTGTGCAGGGGCACAACCTCCTGCCGGCCGTCGCGGAAGACCACAAGGACCCGCATGTTAGCCGTGTTGCCGGCAACGCCCTCGCCGGTGTCAAAGATGCGGTAGCAGTTCTTGATCATGAGCTCAAAGTAGTCGTCGTTGTCGACCGACGCCGAGAGGTCCTTAAAGTAGTCGAGGAACTCGTTGCGGTCGACGAGGCCGTCGCGCTTGACCGTCTCCCACTGGCCAAGGAACTCCCGCAGTACGTCGTCGGCTGTCGCCGACCCGCTCACCACGTCAGGATGCAGCGAGGTGTCGTATGCGTTGGCGAGGTCCTCGATAGTCAGCACGCCCGAGCCGTCCTTGTCGATGACGTCAAAGGCCCGGAGCACGAGCTCGCGCCGCCGCTTGTTCATCTTGCCGCGCAGACCACGGAGCAGCTCGTTGTAGTCGATCACGCCATCGTGGTTGCGATCAAAGGCTTCGATGACCATGTTGACCTTGCGCTCTGAAAAGTCGAGCCCAAAGTCGAGGAGGCCAAACTTGAGCTCATCGTAACTCAGCCGCCCATTGCCCGAGTCGTCGATGATACGGAAGAGCCGCCCAAGGGACCGGATCCCGTTCAGCCCACCACGCCGCGCAATGGCGTTGCGCAGCTGGCCGAGAACAGACCGGGTTGTCGCGTCGACATCCGCAGCCGTTGTCCGCAGACCTGTGAAGCCCTCTGCAAACTCCTCAATGTCCAGTGTGTTGGTCCCGTCCACGTCGTACTTGTTGAACAGATCTGCCATCACCACTCCCGTACCCATGCCCCGCACCATAGCCCCCAGTCACACGCCAGCACCCCAAAAGAGTCTGTCAGTCCCCACACCGTCACTTTGCATTCCACCGTCGTTCCAACGGCGATACCGCCCCCCCCCCCCCTCCTCCCTCTTCCTCATACCCCCCACCTTCCACTCCTCTAGCACATACCCATGAGACCGGGGACGTCCAGAAAGTTGAGCTCGGCCATGGCAGTCAGGAACTCGTTGCCGTCGACGCAGCCCGACCCGTTGGTGTCGACCTTCTTGAAGACCTCCGCGAGCTTACGGGCCTTGGCCTCGGGCGAGCCAAAGCCGGTGAGCGTGTCCAACCGCTCCCGGAGAGCCTCCTCCAGCATCTCGGTCGAGTACGAGTGCGCCATCGTCCTGCTGTGTCGCTGTGGGGGAGGGTCAGAGTTGCGTGTTTCGCCCCGCCGTCAACCGCCACTCGCCCGTTGGTCGGCCCGCCACCTGCAGCCCACCCGCCGGCTGGTCCCCAATAGCCCACACACCCAGACAGCTACATGTCGACTTTGTTACAGTACAAACGCAAGATCAAGATCGACGCGATCAAGCTCAAACAGCAGGTCAGTGGCGGCAGCAGGCTTGCCAGAAGTAAATACTGGTGGCTCGGGACCGCTGCTGGCCAAGAACCGCGAGGCAAGGCCGGCCAGCGCGTCGAGGTGGCTGGCCTCGGGCCGCGGCGACCGCGACCACCAGCCGACCTGCCGCCCGTGGACAGACGCGTCCGGAAAGACAACTACCAGAAATGCCGACGTCGCCAGATCGTCCAGCAACCGCGTCCGCAGCGCCACCTCGCCCCGCCGCTCGTCAAGGACTGGATGGACCGTCACCACCGGGTTGTCGACCGGGCCGGAAAAGTCGACAATCATAAAGAGCTCTGACCCGCGCCACACATTGGTAGTCTCTCCGTTCAGCCCAATTGCTGTTGGCGCCATGCCAGCCGCAGCTACCGCAAGCGGCTGCATCGACACACCCAGCAGCCGCTCGAACATAGCGCTCGTTTCGCCCACCAGGTGCGTTGCCACGTCGCGGGCGCGTTCCGACGCCCCCGGTCCGGCCCACATTCGCACAGACGGCGGCGCCACGACTGCGTACACCGATGAAGCATCCAGCACGCTTGCTGACTCGCAGCAGTCAACCAGCTCCACCACCATCCGCGTCCGTGCGTTGACATGGAACCGCATGCCGCCATCATCGACCCCGGGTGCAGGCACCAGCGGCGACGGCGACAGTGACGGCGACGGCACGCCAATCTCCGCAATGTTCTCGCCCTCGCCATCGGCTGCCGAGTGCGAGCTCGACGACGAGCCAACCTTGAATGCCAGTGCCCGACTGAGAATCTCGTCACAGCTCTCAAACCGCCGCGGCGACCCGCGAAGCACCACCATGTTCGGCACGACCATGCGGAAGACGCCATCCTCGCATCCAGCCCGGACCAGCGTCACCACCGGCGTACCCGGCATACCTAGCTGTAGGTCTTGCATCCACATCGCACTCGAGACTGCATTCAGCAGATGGTCGTGCGACGACGCGCTCTCCGAGATCGACGACGATGCACTGTTGCTTCCGCTCGCCAGCTCCTCGCCGACCCAGAGCCACACATGCGCCCGCGTCACCATGCCGCCACTTGCCGCCACCTCAGCCGTCTGGCTCGGGTACTGGACAATGGCACATACAACCATGGCGCAGCCCATGAAAAAGACAGAACCAAACTCGTCCCACTGCCACGCCCGCTCACTGTCCTCAACAAGCACAAGACCCGCGAGAGAATGCGGATCTGCGAGTCGTGTACGCGCTCCAGCTCTGCTCCCGAGCCACCCGATGAACCTGTGCTGGTCGTCGTTGTCGACGCCGCGCTCATCAGCGCCCGCTGCTCCAGCCACGGCAGCCCGTATCGCGCCGGCTCGTACCACGACTCTGGCCCATCCGCAAGCTCCATCCAAAGATCGCGCGGCGCGCCGGCAGACGATACCGACGGCGCCGATTGGCTCGCGGTCGACGAATCGCCCGTCCATGCCGCCGTGCTGAGCGGCGAGCTCTCTTCCGAACTCGGCGCGGCAGCCGTAGAGAGTGCAGAACGCAAAATGACCGGCTCTGAGCCGTCATACACCACCTGGAGCCTTTGCCATGCCATCGGCCGTTGCTCCGCATCCCACGGATACGTGTTCAGCAGCATTCGCCCATCATCGCCAGACCCTGCACTGTTGTCCATCTCGCGGACGAGCTGAAGCACCTTGGCTCGCAAGCCCTCGGGTACATCGTCGCCGACCCAGACCCAGAGCCCAACCAGGGTCCCGATGAGGAACACACCGCTTGAAGAAAGGTACTCTGAGTAGAGCACACCGCGGGCCACCTCGCGCGCCACGAGACCATCCGCACGGTCGTCGCACACCTCGTGCAGCCGCTGCCACTCGGCCGCCAGCGCCCGCAGCCACTCGACAGAGACCGGTCGCAGCTCGTCGGCCGCCTTGACCTGCGCCACTTGCGCGTAGTTGCCCTCCGACTCGGGAGGCACAAGCACACGCCAGAGCGCGTCGTACGGCGGCTCAATCGCGAAAAGATCCTTGTTCATCGTCTTGGACACGCCGCGCGCAACACCATCGCATGCACCCAGGATCACCAGCGGCATTCGTCGACCTTGCTTTGTCAGCGACTGCGCCAGTGTGATGGCCCGCACCATGACTCGCCGTGGCGCCCGCGGGCCACGCCATACGTACACCCGGCCTGCAGTCTTCACCACCACCACTGCGTTGGCTCGCAGCAGCTCGAGCGAGACCGGTTGCTCCGCAATCTGGCCACGGCTCTGCCCTGCGTGAGTCACAAGGTACCCGACAGAGGCGTTGCGGACTGCACGCGAATCATGCAGCCGGTTTTCATGCCACTGCGCACGATGCCACGCGCTCCGCAGCGAGTGCCACAGCGTCTCGAGTACGCCGCGCTGTTGGTCGGCCTCGGCTGCGTCACGAAGCACCGCGAGCGACGTTAGATGGTGGAACGTTCGCGCCTCGGTTACCACCACAAACAGCGATGCGCCCGAGTCACACACCTCCAGCAGCGCACACCCGGCGTCGAGCTGGTGGATCCGCCGCGAGAAGACCCGCAGCATGGTTGCGTCCGCAAGCTCCTCCAAGACAGTGCCCTTGAGCAATGACTTGCCCTTGCGACGTCGGCGCGACTTGGCTTTGCGCCGCAACCGGCTCTTAGCCTTCTCGCCTTCGCCGTCACCGTCAGAAGAGACCGTGCCGGACGCAAGCGCCGCCGCGCGCAGCGCCACCACAAGTATGCCCGGCGATCGCCCGGTGTCGGCAACTGCGAGATGCAGTGACGGCGAGCCGTGAAATGTGAACAGTCGCAATGCCGCCACCGTCCCGTTGCGGGTTGTCAACGTGCAGAGCGCGGCGCCGCTACGGGCGTCCCAAACTACCACCGAATTGTCGAGCGCGCCCGTTGCCACAAACACCCGCGATGCAACCTCGAGCATGTGTGCACAGGTCAGCGGCGCAAAGTGGAGTCCCTCCAGCCGTGCTACCGGCTTCAGCGTCGAGGTGTTGTGGACCACGGCAGACGTTGAGTCGGGAAGCGAGCAACGAGTGACAAGGAGACATGACGCAGCAGCGAGAAACGAGCCGGCCACACCGGTAAAGCCGTGGACAAACGGTAGGTCCAGCACGGCGCCGGTTCCGCCCTCGGAGCGGACCATGTCAAAGGCCTGGACGGCCGGAATGCGATCCATGACGTTGGTAAAGCCGACAAAGATGCGGGTGCCGAGCCATACCGCAGCACCGACGGCGCCGAGCGTCGGCAGCGCACCCTTGGCCACCATGTGGGCGTCTGCTCTAGATACATGCCATTGCGCGACCGTGCCGTTGTCGTCAATGGACGCAAGCATGGTCTTGCTCATCCAGGTCAGGGCAATAACTCGTGAACTGTGGCCCACAAGAATGGCGACCACCGTCTGCGAGTCACTGGAGTACACACGCAGCGTTCGGTCGCTCGAGCCGGTCACCACCAGGCTTCCGTCAGGATGGACCGCAAGCGAGGTGACCGGCGCGCGGTGGGCGAGCCCACGGTGCGCACCGCCTGCCAGCGACATAGTCGAGAGCTGGTTGACAAGTCCACTAGCCGACCACACCCCAAGCACACCGTCGGCGTCGCCAGAGACCACCATGTACCGGTCGTCAACCTTGGCGGCCGAGAGTGCTGTGACGGCTGTCGGGACGTGGACGCGGAGCTTGCCGAGCATCCTCCCAGACGCCGTCGAGGCAACGCACAAGTGGCCAGACGGCTGGCTGACGAGCAAGAGCGTCGACTCGGGCACAAACTGCAAAGCGCTGGCGTGCTTGACGTCGAGTGTGACCATAGGCTCGACGGCGTTGGCGAGGTCAAACAAGCAGCTACCGTCGTTCTCGGTCGTCCACAGGAGGATCCGGTCTGGCGACGCAACAGCGAGCATGGTACCATCGCAAGCCAACTCGACCACCGACATGTCAGCGATACGGACCGAGACCGGGAGTGTGGCATGGAATAGGACCGCGCCGACGTCATAATCGACGACGGTGACAATGCCTGCTTGCGGCGCCACAACTGCAGCCAGCGGCGCCTCGCGCGCAGGCAGCACATCAACGTAACCGAGCCCGCTTGGCAGCTCGATAGCCTCGACGAGGCCCGCACCGTCGAGGCCGCTCGGCGCCGGCGAGCAGGCCGGAGACGAGTTGGGCGTAAAACCAGCCGGTGTCAGCAGCCTCGCCCGGAGCGTCGCACAGCCCTCGCTGCACACCAGCATGACAATGTACATGTCGTCATCCATTTCGACTAGGGCTGCGCTGGTGATCACCGCCGACGACCCGCGAGTGTACGAGTTGTACTCGTTGATGGCCGAGCCAACGCCTGCGTCGGCGTCTACCGAGAAGATGCGGATACAGCCGTCGGCGACAATGCCGAGGAAGCCGTCACTGCCGAGCAACTGCAGGCCAGACGAGGCTCTGGCACTTAATCCGGGACCGCCTCCCACACCAGCTGTGTTGGGGCTTGGTGAGCCTCCAAGCGTTGGCGGCATGAGAAAGCCGAGCGGGTACTCGTGCCAGGCCTCGGCACTAATGTCCCAGACACAGACCGAGTCGGCACAGAGCGAGGCAAACATCGGTCCTCCGAGTGAGACAACATCATGGATCGGGTGAGGATGCGAGCGGAGGACCGAGTCCATCGCGCCTCCGTGCGCGGTGAGCAGGCGAGTCCGCGGCACATACAGCAAGTGTCCGCGTGACTTGTGCACAAGAGCAGCGTCCACAAACCGCGCAATGGCCACAGGTACATCCGCGAGGTCAGGCACCGGCCACAGCCGGCCGAGAAACTGGTAGCCGACCATAGATGGGTACCGCAGGAGCGCAGACCGCGAGAGAGAAAACAGCTCGCGGAGCAAGAGAAGGTCCTTGACCACCGGCAGCCGTGCCCGCTTGGCCGCCATCACCACGCGCCCCAAGTCGGCAAGATACGATGCAAGGCCATCTGCGCCAGCCGAGAGCCACGGCTCGGCGTCGCGCTCGGCGCGTGAAGACTTGAGATACCACTCAAACGACGTGACAAGGTCGATTGCGTCTTGGAGAGCGTTGACCGCAAGCAAGTGCCGTACAGTGTGCTGCCGGTAGTACGCGTCGTGGGTAACAGGACCGCAGACCCACGATTGGAGCTTGCTCGTGGTCTTGTACGCGTCGAGAATGGCGGCGTGGGCTGCAACATGTCGGCGAGTATCAGCCCGTACTTCCCATGCCAGATAATCGGCGGCATTGGGCAGAATGGTAAAGGCCAACACAGCGTGCGACGAGGTCGATGGGTTCGACAGCCGCACGAGCCCATGCCTTGCAAACTCGTCGAGCACGGCATCGATGTCGTACTCGGAGAGCGGCTCCGGTAACGAGCCCCAGAGGACCACCAGCGGGTCGATGGGCAACAGCGTGAGCGTCGGAAGGACTTGCAGGTCAAGAAATCGGAACCGGAGCGCATGCATGGCACGGACCGTGAGCGCAGTCGCCATTCGCAGCGGCGAGAGCCCACGCGACTTGGACTCGGTCACCTGGTCAAGGGCAAACTTCCACGCCGACTGGCGCTTGTGGGCCACGACAGCTCCGACGAGGGATAGCGCAATCGGCAGCGACTCGCACTCGACTAGGAGTGGGTCGGCCTCGGGCGGAAGGTCGTTAATGGGGCACGCCGCAGCAAGCGCAAGCAGCGCCCGCGCGTCGGCGTCTGAGAGCGGAGGCAGAGCAAAGGCGTCGAGTCGTGGTAACGCTGGCCCGCGCAGCATTGGGGCCACGTCGGAGCGGGCCGTAATAAGCAGCCGCGAGCGCGGTGCAGCGCTCAGTACGTCGCAAAGCGCAAGCTCCGCGGGAGATGACAGGTTGTCGAGGACGAGGAGCAGGGAAGCCGAGGCTATGGCAGCCGTGAGCGCCTCGCGGGCAGCCTTGATCGACCGCTGCTGGTGTGTCGAGAGCTTGATACCGAGCTCGCGTGCGAGCGCCGGATACAGCGCCGATAGCTCGAGGTGGGCGCCTAGGGTGAACCAGTGGATGCCGTCGACAAAGGCAGCGCCCACTTCACGGTTGTGGGCAACGTGGGTGGCGAGCCAGGTTTTGCCTGCGCCGGCAGGAGCAGAGAGTAAAAGCCCGGCCTTGTGGCCACCCGCCGACCGACTAGCCCCGTGTGATGTCGAACAAACACCTGCTGGATGGGCAAGAACGTTGACAGACTGGGTAAGGAGCCGGACAGCGGTTCGCACGAGATCGGGCCGCGCAAGTGAGGTAGCCGGGTCCGGCAGCGGCGGGACCGACGGGAAAATCTGGCCCACCTGTGCGGCATGCTGCTCGAGCGAGGCAAACGCGACAGCGAGGTCCGCAAAGCTCGGCCGGGCGACCGGATCTTCAGCGATGCAGGTCACAATGAGCGGGAGGACCATGCGGAAGAGGCGCGAGTGGAAGACATCTGGCAGGTCGGCGTCGAGTGTCGTCGTCGACCTAAGGACTGCACGCGGCAGGAGAGGGGCGTAACAGTTCTTGATTCGCGAGACCGAGCCAAAGGCACGCATCTGGGTAGCGGTCTCGTAGAGGAGAACGCCAAAGGAAAATACGTCTGCGGCGGCCGTCGGTGCATCACCCATGATGACTTCGGGCGCTGCATAGCGCGGAGTGCCGGCAAAGCCGCGAGTCTCGTCGTCTTGCAGCGTGACTGCGAGACCAAAGTCGGCAACTTTGACCACAGAGCCGCCGCGAGAGAGCAGGATGTTGCGCGGCTTGAGATCGCAGTGCAAAATGCCGTGCCGGTGGAGGTACTCCATGCCACATGCCACGCCGTGGAGAATCGAGAGCTTGAGCCTGTCCGAGAGCTGGCCGCTTGCAAGTAGCGGCGATCCAGACGCACTGTGCCGCCCCGAGAGCGCGGGGGAGAAGAACGACGACCGCGCCGATGTGCGGATTGAAGACCACGGCGACGAGTATGGCGACGACGGCGTGCTAGTCTTGGAGCCGGCGCCACCGGAGGGCACTGAGCTCGACGAACCTGACGAGGTTGTGGCACGGCCGCCTGACTTGTTGTTGCTCGAGCCCGGTGATGAGTCAGATGACGACGCTGACGCCGTAGAGCTGGCAGGTTCGGGCGTGCGACGGCGATGGCGTGACGAGCCAAAGAGCGCGGCATGGAGGTCGCCAGACTCCATGAGCTCGGTGACAATGGCCAGGTTGGGCGCGTCGGTGCAGACCGCCAACAGCTGAACAATATTGGGATGTGAGAGCGAGGCAAGAACCGATGCCTCAGCTACAAGGTCGGCTACCTGCTGCGACTCCTCGCCCTTGGGCGAGAGGCGCTTGATGGCTACAGGCGTCGCGCCCCAGAACCCGGTCCAGACCTCACCAAAGCCACCAGAGCCGAGGCGAGAGCCGACGGTGAGGTCGGTCCAGAGAACAGCCTCAAGTGTCTTGGAAGCGCCGGTTGTCGAGACGAGCTGGACCTCGTTGTGCTCGGAAGAGTTTGCCGGCGAGGCCGAGGCGATGATGGTGCCGAGCCGCGGGCCAGCAAGCGGCGAGGCGGTGGCGGTCGGGCCAGGCCGGGGCAGCTGCTTGGTCCGCGACGCCGAGAACGTCACCGATGTCTCCTGCTGCCGACCGACACGGTGCGCATTAAGCCGGGCAATGGTGAGCGACGCCCCGCGCGACGAGACCGAAGCATCGTCGTCGGTCGAAGAGATCATGCGGCGAGAGAACGAGCACGAGAGCGAGGCGTCGTCCGAGGCCGACGACGCCGGTGATGACGATGCCGGCGGCGAAGCCGACAATGGGGATGCCGGCGATGCCAATGAGGTGGCCGTGGACGACACCACGCTGTGGGCAGTAGCTGCTTCGGGCGAAACAAGGACGTGGAGCGCCGGCGGGCCAATCTCCCCGCGAGCCGAGTGCGACATGGCTTCCCTATGGGGAGACGCCAAGCGCAGGGGCAGGACAGGCGGTGATAGCTCCGGACTAGAAGGAGGTGACGTCGACGGCAATGAGGGCGGCGACGAGGAGTGTGTCCAGGGCTTGGCACCGCTACTCGCACATGGTCCATCCTCGCATCGGTAGTCGCCGGTCTGTGGCGCGGCAATTCGATGGCGTTGAGAACTGGGACTGGCAGTTTCGAACATTGTTGAATGAGGTTGTTGTTTTTTGAGCTGGGCTTCAGGAAGGCTCGCACAAAACCCTCACACGTGCGCGAGGACAGCAGTGATCTGCACTGGAGGTGGTTGTGGACAAGTTGTACGAGCTTGCACGTGGGATGGGCGTAAGAAGGAAGGAAGGAAACTTGACTCCTTGGCTTGGGTCGAGTCTTTGCTGTCACTTGTGTGGTCCACTACAGCATGCGGGCGGGGAGCGAGCAATTCTCACAATTGGTCAAACGGATAGGGCGCGGGATGAGATTTCTTAATTGGCTCAAAAGGCCCGCACCATCACAGCAGATACAGCACTGAAGTGATGTCAGCACTCGTCACTGCAAACTCTCACGCCTGGCGATGGCCGAGACGGCGACGACGACCGGACGTTGGGCCGGCGAAAGAACTTCAAAAGCAGCCGTGGTCGCCACGCTTCCATCGACCGCAATCCAATCGGGCTGGTCAACATCCAGTCGCCGGTAGTCGGCGGCGCGGACCCGGGCGGCGAGCGGCGACGACGGCGGATCGAAGGAGAGCGCAAACGAGGTGAGTGCGAGCGGGGCGGGTCCTCGGCCTCATACGAGAGTGTGGCGGAGCAGAGGAAGCGACGCGAGCCAGCGGCATCGGCCACCGGCGAGATCTCCAGGACCCAACGCGAAGCAGTGCGGGAGCTCTGGCCCGGTGTCGCGGTGCGCTGCTGCGTCCGCTTGGCCTCAGTCACGCCGGTCGTTGGCTGTGCGTCGAAGCGGTCGTCGCCGCACACCGTCTCCGAGGCGATGAAAAACGAGTACTCGCACTTGGCAAGCTCGGCGACAGAGACGATGGTCGGGAGCTCGGCGCCGGCCGGCAGCGCGAGCTGTGGCGGGACGGCCGTGGGGCAGACAAAGTGCAGAAAGGCGATGCGTGGGGCACCCGTGTCAAAGCATCGATCGCCGCCGTCGTAGAGGACCGTGGCGCCGATGGGCCCACCAGGACCCTTAAAGACGCCAACCACGTTGTTCTCGCCTAGTCCGGTCTGTGTGATCCGCCCGCCGCGGCCTGCGCACACCTCGTACGTGTAGCCGAGTCCATCGGTGTGGACCAGGCACGGTGACTTGGGCAGCTCAGCAACGAGCATGGCCATGATCTTGGCCACCGGCTCGGCCTCGCCAGTCGCTGGCGGCGGCGGGCTCGGCGGCGGCGGGTTTGGTGTGTTGGCTGGTCGGGTATCGAAGGTAAAGGTGCACGTGGTGCCGCTCACCGAGACCGAGGTCGAGCCCACCACCGCTTCATCGACAGTGAACGAGACGAGCGCCGGTGGCGGGGTGCCGTCAGACGCCGCTGCGACTGTAAGGAGGAGGAGGAGTGGGAGGAGGAGTAGAGCGTGCTGCATGTTAAGTGAGGGGGTGAGGTGGCACTCGTTCTGTGTTTTGGATTGGTACTGGTACTGGGCTGAGGGGAGTGGGCGGGGCGGGTGGGCGGGCGAGCCGGGCACGGTCAGAGCCAGCCGATGCGACGAAAGTAGAGAATCTGGAAGGCGGCCTGGAGGATGGCGATGGTCCAGAAGCCTGGGTAGCCCCACTCCCAGCCGAGCTCGGGCATGTCGTCAAAGTTCATGCCGTAGGCCGAGGCCATGAACGAGGCCGGGAGAAAGACGGTGGACATGACGGTGAGCGTCTTCATCACGTCGTTCATCCGCCGGTTCTGGGCGTCGGTAACAAACTCGATGAGCGAGTCTGAGGTCTCGATGTACGTGTCGATGGCCTCGATGTTGAGCTTGATGTGGTCGGCGACGTCCGAGAGATAGAGCTTGGTTGTGGGATCGACGGCATCGTCCTCCATCTGCAGGCGGTTCGTCATGGCCGACATCGGCCACAGCAGCCGCCGCAGCAGCTTCAGCTCGCGCTTGAGCGACCGCACCGCCGTCGCATACTGCTCGACGGCCGTCGGCAGCACGTCGGTCGTCATCGCGAGGTCGAGCTCCTCGAGCTGCAGCGACCAGTACGAGGTGATCGGCACTACGTTGTCGACCACCGAGTCGAGGATGGTGTAGAGTAGGAAGGCTGCGCCGTGCTCGCGGACCTTGGAGCCGTCATACATCAGCCGGGCTAGGACAGGCTGCCAGACCGCCACAAACGAGCCCTCTGGATACTTGCCCTCTTGAACTACGATGCACGTGCGGTCGGACGTAGTGGTAAAGACCGCGATCTGTTCCATTCGGAACTCGGCCCGGTCGACAGCCGCAAGTGGCTCCGACGCCGTTGAGTCTGCAGAGCCGTCGGACGCCAAGCCGACCTCGGACGCGGCTTCCTTGCCTGCGCCAGCCACGCCTAGCGGCTCCATGCCCATCACCGGTGGCGACGAGCCGGTGCTAGCATCGGTCCGGCCGAGGACAGTGCCTTCGTCGACAGCTGATGGTGTCGGTGCAATCGAGCCGGCGCCTCCCCCTGCGGACGGCCCATCCGCGGCGGCTTCTTCATCCTCGCCGTGGATGTACATGTGAAAGGCGTTAAAGACGGCAAAAAGCTGCGATGGCAGCCGCATGACCTTGGCAAGCTGTGGTGTGGTCATGGAGTCTTCAACTGCCAGTGGATGCAGCTCGTACATGGCGGCCAGCGCCTCGATGATGTCTTTGTCGATGCCCTCGACGTGGATCCAGCGCATGGTGGCCCACGCTGGCCGTGGTCGTTCCTGTAGATACTCGACATTCGGCGCCTCAAACATAGCAATCGACGACGCCGAGTAGTCGTAGATGGTAAGCCGGTACCGGCCGTTGACAAACGGATGGTCGGCAGGAACTGTGAACGGTGACTCCTCCACCACGCCGGTGAGCGGAAACATCCGGTTGGCAGCGGCGCCCGATGGGCTTGGTGTCGCCTTGGATGCCCGCGAGCCGCGGTTCCCACCCTTGCGCCACTTGTCCATGCGTCGCATCGGGAGCTTGAGCGCTGGCTTTTGTCCGCCGTCGTTGCCGGCAGTCAGCTGGCGCAGCGCCGTCTTCACCGCCAGTCGCTCCTCGGAGCGGACCGAGCTCGACGACGCCGGACGCGATGCCGACGAACCGGAGCCGCTGGCCTCGGCGACAATTTCAGCCTTGTCATCTCCAGACCACGAAGACCGCGACTCACTTGACGAGCCCGAGCGTGTGTACAGAAGCTCACGCTGACGATCGTGGTCGTTGTCGACGGCGCGCGCCGGCATTGGCGATCCCGTCCCGCCGCTAGCAATGACGGATTGCCTCTCCGGCTCGCGTTGTGGCGGCGACGGACTCATAGTCCAATCCGCCGGCGGCGTGCCATACAGCCGCAGCCTCGGTGGGCGGGCGTCGGCATCGCCGGCGGCAGCCAACAGCTCCTTGGACGCAGCGTCCGACTCGATAACGACGTAGTCGCCGAGTACCTCGTCCCACGCGCCGATCTCAAACTCTGCGCCTTCTCGAGCCAGCTCTGGCGGAAGCACGCCTTCCATTGCCGCAATAACTGCCCGGGCCAGCGCAACGTGGGCCCCATCCGACCGCGTCTCGTCATCGATGGTCACCCTCCGCGAGTACGTCCGAGTGTGGACGTCCCACGAGCCGGTCACATAGCAGCGGAGGACCAGGCTGTCACCATCGCCACTCGCACTCTCTCTGCCGGTAGCCGAGTCTGACATACGTGTGACGGTGCTTCTTGCTGCGCGTGTGTGTGTGTGGCGGGATACCGAGTCGATGAGTGGCGTATAGTGATGTGTAGCCGCTGTTGAGCAATGCGGAGCTCGCAGCGGATGCGGGTGGGAGTCACGGTCAGCTGGTGCCGGGGACCGACGCAGACACAGACTACGCAACTCGTCACGTACCTCACCCGCTCTCTCTCTCTCTCTCTCTCTCTCTCTCCACTTTCTCCCTTGGGCTTGGTATGGCAGCGGTGGGTGACCACGCCTGGGCTGACGACTCGCTGGCTGCACGGGACGAGCTGGCTGTTCTCGTCCGCCGCGCAGGGGCAAAGGCGTTGGCCGATGCGGTCGTCGCGCTGCCGCACGAGGCGCTGGATGTGAAGCGGATGCAGGCACATGTGCTGACGAGAGCATCGGGGGAGGGCTCGGCGAGCGTCGAGCTTGTGGATGCACATGGGGATGCGCGCAAGGCGCGGGTCTGGGTGTGGAGCCCGGAGCGCGGCGCCCTGGTCTGTCGCAATACCGGCGCTGCGGTCGCCGTTCTCGCTGAGGAGCTGCTGTATCTGGAGAGCGGAGAAGAAGTGACGCTGCTAGCGGTGGCACGAGCGCTGGATAATGCCGAACCGATCGATGATGACTGCGCTGCCACTCCGGCCACTGTCCGTGATCCACCGGATCTGGAAGAGAGCATGGCGATGGTGTCTGCGCCAGAAGTGCGAACTCAGCTGGCAGGCATGATGGACGCCGTTGCGGCGCTGATGAGCGACGGCGCCGTCATCCGTGTCCGCGGCGGCGAGCTAGCAGCCGGTGCCAAAGTAGCGACACTGGTCACGATCCACGCCGCAGCCTTTGCCCGCGCCATGCCATCACTGCTGCCATCGCTCGAGCTTGCCCTTGTCTCGGTCACGCTCGGCACTATCCACGACCTGGTGCTGGGAGAACTGCAAACGCTGTATGCCGCTGAGGACACAGCGCTCAACGAGTCGCTCCCGATGCTGGCGGACGAGCTGACGCTTGTGGCGCTCGACGCACCACCCGCGCTTCACGGAGTCAAGCTCGGCTCGGCTGAGGCGCTGCTAGCTCCGGCCGCGCTGGCCAAGCCGCGGACACCGATCGAGCTCGCAGTACATGTTCGGAAGGTAGTGGCCGCCATTGAAGGCTGCGTCAGCGCTCATGCTGCCGGTCGATGCGACGTGGTGGCCATGGACGGTATGGTGCCTCTGTTGGTTAGGGCTGCGGTATGTGCGCCCGTCCGCAGCTGCGCGTCGCTGCAGGCATGGGTCGCCTTTGGCCGCGCCGCAGGCCTTCCGCCACAACTCGACTTTTACCTCGCGCTCTTCGAGTCGGCGCTAGCGTATCTGGTGTCACGAATCGGGTGATGCGAGTTCGGCGAGGAGGTCGACGAGAGCGCTGGCCTCGGTGGCGACGTCGACATCGCGGACCAGCATTTCGTACAGGTCCGCGGTGTACGACGTCGTCGCCGCGTGGTCGATGGCGTCAAATCGGGCCAGACTCTGGGCAAAAGACGCGTGCAGCGCAGCGCAAAGGTGCGCCGCCTCGCCGTTGTCGTCGCCGTCGGCAACGTGGCTGACGTACGCGTGGAGAAGAGTGGTAAAGATCCGGTCCATGTGGCGGGTCATGCGCGGCCAGGCCACCGGCCATACGATGCTGTCGAGGACGTCGAGTGCCACCAATGCCGGTGCCGGCTGGTCGGCACGGATGCAGCCCTGCAGAAGAGCGAGTGTCTGCTCGAGTGTGGCGACGACGTCGGGTGCTGGCAGCGCGGTGAGCGCTGCGCCCCAAGCCCGCAGCTGCGCGGCGCGGAGCGCAGGCTCGGATGTCCGCATCAGCGACGCCATCATCCGCAAATGCAATGTTCGCGCCCAGTCAAGTGCATCGTCCGAAGACGCCGGTAGACCGGCCACCAGCGCCGCAGCGGCGTCCAGAGCCAGCATGCCCGACATCTTGTCAGCGGCTACCAGGCCGCGCTCGAGCGTTTCGCGCAGCAGTGGCGCGTGCCATGCCAGCGCCGTCGGCGAGATCCGCGGCAGCGCCGACGCAAGGCACGCCCAGCCTGCGCGGTAGACCGCCGGAGCTGATCCATCAACGCAACGCAACATGAGCGGGAGCAAGTGCCCAAAAACGCTTCTCAGCTGAGCGAGCCCCGACTCACGAACAGCAGCCAGAATGGTTGTAGTCTCGGCGCTGAGCTCGTCCGTAGTCATCGCCATCCACCGCGCGATGGTGCCCTCGGTGAGCCCAGCACGGCCAGCTGGTGTCGAACACAGACCATCGCTGTCCTCACCGTCCCCGCCACCATCGCTGCCGTCCGAGGCATCGCCGCTGTCAGAGGTGTCGATGAGTGTGATGAGCTTCTTCATCTCGTCCACGTCGCCACCCTCGACGACGCTCAGGAGGCTCTTGTCGTCCATGTTGTCCATGATGCCGTCCCCTGCTGACGTTGTGACACAGCTAGCACAGTAGCAGACACAAGGCCGCTCCGAGCCAAGAACAGTCGCCAAGTGAGATGTAAGGGCTTGCCGTGCCTCCCTCAGCCTTGCAGAGTGCAAGCCAGGCCAAGCCAGGCCAAGCCGTATCCCACACCCGCTCATTTCCCCGCCGTCCACGCCGCCGCCCCCGCCACCTCACTCATCCCCCATCCTCCACCTCCATCATCTACCCTCTACAACATGTCGCTATCGCCTGCTCTGGCTAGTGCATGTGTGGCCCTCCTCGCAGTGGCGGTCATGTACGCCTGGGACAGCTCGGTCGTCAGCCCGCCGATCACTCCCATCTTGGCTCTCGGTCCGCTCATACCCCAAGGGCATGGCGAGGGTGATGATGGACGAGCGAGCGGACCCGAGTTTGACCCAGAGATCCATGCACTTGTTTCGTCATGTCGCCCGCTGGCTGCGCCGGATGGCCGCTTCCTCACCGCAGGCTCGGCTATGGTCATGCTCGACGACGGCTCGCTGCTGGTGTTCTCCGACGACTCGGTCGCAGCGCTGCATCTGCGACTGGCCGACGCAGCGGCTATCCGCCGGAAAGACCGGACGCCACCGGGGCCCGGGGTGGCTACCGGTGACGCTCTGCTTGACGGTGTCGACATCGAGTGGCTTGATCTCCACGTCTTACCCGACCAGGATGACAAGCACGATCTCGAGGCTGCAGCCTCGCTGCCGATGGGCCTGCTCATGCCAGGCTTTGTCGGGCTCGACACCTCACTGCGCAGCGTCGACGTGGCGAGCTACAAGCCGCGGTCCCATCCGGACCACGCCCGCCACATGCATGTCCTGGTCGTCGGCTCTGGCTCGCTCGTCGACGAGCGTGAGGTCGCGCTCCTCCTTCACATCCACACCGATGACGACAATGAGACCCATCTTGTGGCAGACATGGAGTCGGCGGTGTACTCGAAGCTGTACGCCGCCACCCGCGCCGCCACAGCTGCCGCAGAGCTCAACATCGAAGGCCTCGCCGTGGCACTCCCGGCCTCGCCCTTCCACTGCACCGTCTTTGCCATTCATCGCGCCAACGACGGTGGCAGCCAGCCAGCGTCTGGCACCCTCGTCGGCTTTCCGTGCGGCCAGCTGCTTGGCCACCTCGCGGAGCCGCACAAGCTCCCTGTTCCCGCCATTACCACGCTGGCGGCGCTGGCGCTGCCGGAAATCGACGGTGTGGCTCTAACCCCGACCGATCTCGACACCGCGCCGCCGCGGTGTGACCCGCGCCACGTCAACGGTACTGCGCCGGTCCGCGGCACGCAGCACTGCGCCGCCCGCCTCGTCTTCCTTGCGGCTGCCGAAGACACGCCCTCGCCTCTTGCCGATGGGCCAGTCATCGGCTGTGCTGTGGGCGTCGTCGAGGTCGACGTCCGCACCGGCGCCGTTGCATCCTCCCATCCGCCGCGTGCTGCCCACATCTACCGCCGCAGCCGCGACGGCTCCATCGCCCGCGACGTCACAAAGTACGAGGGCATCGTCCTCCTTCCGGGTGCCTCGTCGGCGCTTCTTGTCTCGGACCCGGACGCCACTGACCGCGCCGCCGAGCTCTGCCATGTCCACCTCCCGCAGGCCCTCGATCTGGCGTAAATCCTCAATGGCGCTCGGCCGTGTGTCGGTCCTCTGTGCTGGCTGTTTTTCACGCCGCACGCGCGCACCTGTGTCACCTGTCGCACCACCATTTCGCCACCGTCCACGGACCCACACCACCATGCACGTCCACCCTCTCACGCTCATTGTTGCCTCTGCTGTCGTCCTGGTCCTAGTCCCGGCCTTGGCCGCGCCTAGCCGGCTCCCGCTCTGCCCCAAGTGCGAGGAGGTCCGTGGGGCGTCCAAGGCGTGCAAAGGCGCGAGTGGTGAAGACAAGATCATTTGCGATGTGCTAGTGAGTGTTTGCTCCTTCTTTGAGTGTCCCATCAACGAGGTCGCCGACCATCTGCCAGCCTCGGACCATGACGGCGACAAGTTCTCCACCGATTTTGGCCTCCGTGGCTACGCGTGGCGCGGCAAGGACTGCGACGACCACGCGCCCGAAATCTACCCTGGACGACGATCTGTCCCGCGAGGCACCGATGCCGCCGCAGACTACAACTGCAACGGGATATCCGGCCGTAACGCATCCGGAACGTATGAGGAGCTCTTCTGCGGCGACAAGTTTGCGCCACAGGGCCTGATTCTGCTCTCGGACTCGACCGGCGCCCACTTTGATGTCCCGCTGCGGCCGGCCCATCTACCCGAGTGGCCCAAGATGCTCGATACCGAGCTCGACTGGCCTGAGTGCTCGTGGGCGACCGCGTGGGAAGATGACGTCAAGCGGTGTGACGGGCCGTACATCCTCGGCCACGTCGACTCGATCTACAAGCGGCTCGTGGAGCGGAACCGTTGCAATCTGCGCGACTACCAAAACATTGCGGTCAACGGCATGCGATCGGGACCGATGGCCGCCGAGCTAGTCAACACCACCGCCCGCCACAAGGAAACTGACGCACCTGCCCTCGTTCTCCTCGCAGAAGTCGCCAACGACGTGTGCAACCCGCACCCGGGCACCTCGCACATGACCGAGCCGGCGGCATACAAGACCAACATGCTCTCCATCCTCGATCAGCTCGATGCCATGCTGCCGCCCAACTCCAACGTCGTCTTCTTTGGCTACCTCCACGGCGAGGCCTACTATCAGGCGATGAAGGACAAGCCTTATCCCTTTGCCGGCATCACCTACCTCGAGGCCTGGGAGTTTGTCAACAACCAGACTGTCGGCGCCAAGCACGGCGACGCACGGACGCTCAACCCGTGCTACGGATGGCTTAACCCGAACGCCACGCTTCGTGCCTTTACTTCGGCCCGTGCTCGCGCGCTCGAGGCCGTCTACAAGGACATCATTGCCACGAAGCACTATGCCTCGTTCGACATGTACTACTTTGACCTGCCCGACGAGGACATTATTGCATCCTGGGCCGCCAAGGGAGGCAACGTCGCCGACCTCGTCTCCCAGGTCGGCGGTGTCCACCCATCGCTGGTCGGCTCCACGCTCTGGGCCGATGCCATCTGGACCATCCTCGAGACCAACATCCCGCATGTTCTCGGTCCGGTCAACCCCCACAACGCCGCCATTACCGCCATGTTTGGCGACCAGGGTGGCCACGGCGACGGCCGCTGAAATCAGAGAACACGGCTGTCGACTCGCTTCGGCATTTGGCGCCAGCCCCTCACTCGACACGCCCACGCCCGCGCCCACGCCCGCGCCAGCCACTCCTCTTTCCTCTCTTCATACACAACAAGTCAAACACATGCTCCGCAGAGCCCCCACCCGCATGGAGCTCACCCGCCGCGACGAGGAAGAGTACCTCGCTGCCCGCCCGCGCATTCTTGCCAGCCGCGGCGTCGACCCGGCGGCGGCCTCGCCCGCCGCGCCGTCCACCCCCGTCCGTACGTTGGCATTGTCCCTCCACAGCCGCGCAGAGTGCGACGAGACTAACACAAGTGATGGTTGCGGGTGGTGGTGTGGGGATAGGCTCGACTCGCGAGCGAATCAGAGCAACAGGCGCCGCGGGCGCAGGCGCCACAACAGGCGCCGAGGGCAATAGCTCGTCAGGCGAGTGGTGAAGAAGGGCTATGGATGTTACACTGAAAGAGTCGCCGTGGGATGCGGCGCCGTAAGCGCTGACATGCAAAGCAAATGTGCGGCAGGATCACCGCCGCCGCCGCCGCGACCGCTTCTGGTCGCGGCTGGGCGCCGGCTTTGCGGCGCCCGGCGCATGCCGCAGCCGCCCGCGAGGGTAGATGTGGACCTCGATATCGATCTCGGCCAGGCGCTCGGTTCCCTTGGTCTCGTCGTAAACCATCAGGCGATAGTTGGCGCCAGGCGCCAGATCAGCCGGCAGCTGGATGCTGTCAAAGACTGCGGAGCCCTCCTCGGTCTTGCCCGGCACCGAGACCATCGGGAGGCCGGCAATAGCCGAGCGCGGCAGGCCGTTGTGCGCATCGGATGCTGCGGCCGCCTTGACAGCATCGTTCTCGGCCACTGCAGTACTCTCATCGCCTGCTGCAGAAGCGCTGCTGCACGGCGCCACAGTTGCGGCCGTGGCCGAGCCCTCGGCTGCGGCCAAGGCCGCGGAGGCATCGTCCTGCTTGGCGCGCTCGGCAGCGAGATACTCGGACCGGGAGAGGCTTGCTCTCAGTAGCGGGATTGGACGCTGAACAATCTGGTCGGCGACGCCTCCAGGGAGCCGCGGGTGGTCGCCGTCGACATCGGCACCGGCATCGCTCTTGTCAGCACTACGCTCGGTCTTGTCGGGCGCGGACCGGTCGGTCTTGTCGGCCTTGTCGCCGCCCCGTTCGCGCTTCGAGTGTCTGCGGCGGCTCGAGGACGGTGTGACGGCGGCAGCGGCAGCGGCAGCGGCCGCCTCGGCTCGCTCGACCTGGGAGGCCAGCGGCGGCGGTATCGGCTGCTCGGAAAGGAGCGTCCGCCGCACAATCTCGAGACGAAGGAAGCGGCCAGACTCGACACGGACAGGCAGGTACTCGATGGCCGGTGGAGGTGGCTGAGCGACCTCAATCTCGGCCTTGGCGGCAGCCTCAGCGGCTGCTGCACTCGCCTTGGCGCTGCCGCCGGTAGCAGGTCCGGTGCGCCGCGGGTTTGGCCGCCGGGTTCCCGGCCGGCTACTCCGGTTCCGGCCAGCAGCGGCCGAGCCCGGACGTGGCCGGGAGCCAGGACCCGGAGACGCCACCGCCGCTGCTGCCGAGCCCGAGGCACCGAGATCAGCGCCTGTGCTCTCGCCCGTCCCGCCGGACCCGTCGGTCGCCACCGACGCCGGGCGCTCACGCACGAGGCAGGCAAGCACTTCCAGTCGCGGCAGGACATCGCCGACCTCGAGCTGGAGAAGCTTGCCCTCGGCGACAGCGGCCAACCGTTCGTTCTCAGAAATGTTGACAAGGGCAGCAACGCCAGCGCCACCGCCGGCAGTGCCAGGCATGTCGGCAAAGACGGCCTGCGCCAGCGACGGCTCGCCGTGTGCCCCGCCGAGGTCGCCACCCTTGTTGGCGTCGGCATCAGCGCCAAATACAGACGGCAGCGACGGGTTAGAAGGCGCGCGGGTGCGGGTGCTGCGGGCTGCAGCCCGTCGAGCAGGGTTGGGCCGCGCGCCACTGGCGCGGGTGCCGGCGCGCGAGGCCGCCCGTGGCCCGGCGGGCTGCCTACTCCGCGGATCGGCCCTCAGCAGCGGCTTGTCTGGTCCAACAGCGGCGGCTGTGCCTGCTTTCACGCCGCTGTCAGCATGCACAAGCTCGGCCGATGAGCGCGCGGGTGCGAGGAGCGAGTCGTGAGGCAGCTGATCGGGAGGAGGCGGGACGAGGCGGAGGACGGTCGGGGTGTCGATGGCATCGTTGACCCACTCGCCAAGGTAGACCAAGCCTGAGGCAGCGTGATAGAGCCTGCCCGAGCCGTGGCGCTTGCCTTTGTGCCACTCGCCCGAGTACGAGTCGCCATTTGCGTAGCGGGCGTCGCCCTCGCCGTGGCGGCGGTTCTTGTACCAGCCGCCGGTGTAGGCGTCGCCGTTTGCTGCGCGAAGTGAGCCTGAGCCGTGGCGGGCATGACGGACAAAGGTGCCCTCGTAGCGTGTGCCATCCGCGAGAACGAGGATGCCCTTGCCGTGGCGCTGGTTGTTGGCCCACATTCCTTCGTAGCGGTCGCCGTTGGCAGCGAGCTCGACACCCTGGCCGTGGCGCTCGCCCATGCGGAACACTCCCGAGTATGTGCCACCATCAGCATAGCGGCGGAGACCGTGACCCTGTATCTCACCGTCGACAAAGGCACCCTCGTACGACGAGCCATCGCCCATGTAGAAGGTGCCTTGCCCGTGCTTGACCCCGTCGCGCCACTGGCCCGAGTAGGCAAAGAAGCCACCCGGGTAGATATAGGTGCCCTGTCCGTGGCGGATACCCTCGGCCGTCTCGCCAAAGTATCCCTCTTGCATCCCCGGAGGGAGTCCGCTCACGTACTGCATGAGGGGTAGAGGTTGGGGAAGGGGGGGGGAGGGGGGGGGGGGGAGGGGGAGGGGGAGGGGAGTGGTGGTTTGAGAGTGCACCGAATGCGAACAGGCGGCGGCAACCGAGGCGGATTTGGGGTGTGACACTCCTCCACTGCCACCGCCCCCCAAGCGGGGCACATTCACGCACACACACAAACACACGCACACACACACATACATACATACATACATACACACACACACACACACGCACACACACACACATACACACACACACACACACACACACACACACACACACACACATACATACACTTCCCCTCCCCTCCCACTCCCACTCACCGCCTCTGCACATGTCGGAGAAGGAGGCGCTCGCCGCCGAGAACGCAGCCTTGCAGGCGCAGGTGGCGAAGCTGCAGCAGGAGCAGGCGGCGCTGTCGGCAAAGGTGGAGAAGACACTTATCAAGGTCATTGCCGAGCGAAGGGCCCTGACCAAGCAGGCTGACGCTCTTGCCAAGCAGAACGAAAAGCTGACGCTGCTGGCCAAGCATGCCGAGGCCCGCAAGGCTACCGAGCCGCCACCGTCGCAAGCCGACGCCGACGCCGACGCTGACGCTGACGCCGAAGCCCAGACCGACGGCGATGGGCAAGGTGGCGAGCAGAGTGACGAGCCGGTCTCGGCCGCGGGAGCTATGCTGGCCTCTCGCGAGCGGACGTCGGCTTCCAAGCGCGGGACACGGTCGTCGGCCGGCTCGCGCGCCCGCAAGGCCCGAGTTGCCGAGCTCGAGGAGCTCAGGCTGGAAAAGGCCGAGCTTGTCGAGCTCGTCAAGGCCGCGCAGGCCGCCAAGCAGCAGTCGTTTGAAGCCGCCCGTAACGTCGTCTCGGCAACCATCGAAGAAGTCAAGGACACGTCGGTGCTCGAGCGGACGCTCTTCCGGTTTGCGCGCTCGCCGTCCGAGATGCAAAAGTTGCGGCGGTCACTCTTTGCGCTCATTGCCGTGACCCAGGACGCCAAGTGCGAGCTCGCCACGCTCCGCAACAAGGCCGAAGCCACTCAGCACGTGCTGGAGACCCATGCTATCCTCGCCACCGTCGTCGACCGCATGCGTGACCAGATGACGTCGTCGTCAGCGCTGCTAGCTGCGCTCAGGACCACTGCCGAGGAGCGGAATGCCGACGCCGCAGAGGCCAAGATGCTGCTCGCCGACATGCGCGAGGTTGAGCATGCGCTGAAGAGCCAGCTCGCGGCAGAGTGCGCAGCCGCCGCACGCGGTGCCCCGTTTGTGGCCCAGCGCCGCGAGCTCGAGTTTCGCCGCTCGGTCGCTGCCGCAGAAGTCGCTGTCCTCGAGGCCCGTATCAAGGACGCGTCCGGCCCGCCCGCGCCGACCGCGTCGCAGCTCGCCGAGGCCCAAGCGCTGTCCGCCGTCCTTCAAGAGCGCGAGCTGGCTCTCTCTGACATGCGCAAGCGCCACGCCGCGCTCACCGCCGAGACGCATGCTTATGCCCGCGAGGAAGCCGACCTCAGGCGGGCGCTGGAGACGCTCATTGCTACCAAGACCACGTCGTTGATGTCGCTGCGGCGGCTCGGCGAGCTGGTCGGCTCTGCTGTCGTGAGCAAGTCGCAGCTCAAGATCCGACTCATCGACGAGCAGAAGGACTACACTGAGACGCGCCTCCTGCTCCGCGAGGACGCCGTCACGCTCCGCGGCCTGCAGCGGATCAACTCGCTCAACGCCGACCTCGCGTGGTCGCTGCAGGAGACCGAAGACGAGAACCGCAAGATGCTGGACCGGTGGTCGACGCTCGAGCGCATTGCTGCCTTTAGCATGCCCTCGGTCGACGCCGAGGTCTACCTCCGCCTCGTCGCCATCTTTGGCGAGGACGGCCTTAGCCCTCCGCCGGACCTGTCGGTCTCGCCGGTCTTGCCGCCGCTGATTTCACGGCCCGACCCCGTGCCAGCCGACGCCCTGAGAGGGAGCCCAGGGTGCTCAGCCGCCGATAGCAAGCCCGAGAGCCAGCCAGACAGCTCGTCGCCGCAGGCCGGCTCGCCCTCGGGTCGCGCCTCCGACCCGTCACTGATCCACGGAAACGAGCCGGCCTCCGGTATCAGCGCCGTCAACCGCGCTTCGTTTGAGCGGTCATTTGTCCAGCGCGCGCGCTCGTCGTCCGAGTACGGCCGCAACCAGCCGCCGCAGGCCCACACCGCCGTCGACATCGACTCGATCCTCGCAGCAGACACCTCGCAGCCATCGCAACCGGTGGAAACGATGACCGCGCTTGATCGCGAGACGCTGCTCAAGAAAGTCCGCGCCCGTTCGGCCATGCCGCAGTCGCCCGGCTCGCGGACCTCGCTCGTGGCCTCGTCCGAGTTGCTGTTCATGGACGCCAAGAGCGCGAGTCCGGCGACGCGCAACGACAGCGCGAGCGTCGCGGTAGCATCGACTGCCCCGGCCGATCTCGACGCGTCCGAGGTCGACTCGGACATCCGGGTCCGCGCAGGCACGCTTCGCAAGCTTGTCGAGCTGTTGACGTACGAGCGGTCGCCCATGCCGTCGTACGTCCGGGCCTTCCTTCTCACCTACCGAGCATTTACCTCGCCGCTCGAGCTCCTCGACTTGCTCGTCGAGCGGTACTGCATCACTCCGCCGCCGGAGCTTACGGGCTCTGCGCTGCTCGACTTTACAAAGTCGCAGCAGGTTCCGATTCGGCTCCGGGTTTTCAACATTCTGCGGAAGTGGATCAAGGACTTTTACTACGACTTTGAGGCCGAACCCGAGCTGGCCAAGCGGCTCCTTGAGTTTGTGCGGAACGTCATGCCGGCGACGGCCATGGAGCGGCCGGCCAAGATCCTGGAGCGGCTGCTGACGCGGGCGTCGGGGGTGCCAGCCGCGGCAGGCGGCAGTGCACGCGACTCGGTCCGAGCCTCTGAGCTGATAGTCGAGTGGGCCACGGTCGACCGGGCGTCTGGCGTGCTCCCGTCGGTCTCACTCGACCTCACCCTCGCCGACGTGGACATCAAGTCACTGGCGCTCGCGCTCTCGATCTACGAGCAAAAACTGTTCATCGCCATCCGGCCGCAAGAGTTCCTTGGGCTCTCGTGGTCGAAAAAGGGTAAGGAGACCAAGGCGCCAAACGTGCTCGCCATGATCCGGTGGTTCAACAGCTTCTCGCGGTTCATTGTCCACGAGATCCTTCGTGTCGAAGGTCGCATGGCTGACCGCGTCAAGATCCTCAAGCGAGCGATCCGGTTCGGGCACGAGCTCGTCGCACTCAACAACCTCAACGGCGCCATGGAGGTGACCGCGGCGCTCCAGTCGTCGCCGATCTTTCGGCTCAAGAAGCACTGGGCCGCGCTCGACCGCAAGACCCGCGACCAGTGGGATGCACTCAATGAGCTCCTCTCGCGCAACGCGTCGTACAAAAACATGCGCTCACACCTCGGCCTCGCCAACCCACCGTGCATTCCGTACCTCGGCATGTACCTCACCGATCTCACGTTCATCGAGGACGGCAACCCGGATCATGTCGACCACGACGGCGAGCAGCTGATCAACTTTTCGAAGTGCTGGCTCGTCGCCGGTACCATCACCCAAGTCCGCCAATACCAGCAGACCAAGTACGTGCCCGAAGGTGACGAGGCCGTTGACGGTTTCTCGTTCCTCCGCTCCGTCCTCGCCGCAGGCATGTCCGGCTTTGACGACGAGGAAGAGGCCCACAAACGGTCGCGTATCGTCGAGCCGCGGACGTGAGCCAGAAATACAGGCACGGCTCACCGTGCTCCGAGCCATCGCACAAACTCTAACTCCTCGGCCGTGCACGTCTCGTGCCCGCAGCCGCGAACTGTAAAGAACTCGAGCTCGATCCACGGCTCGCGCTCCAGCGCCCGCGCTGACGCCGCCGCCGCCTGCAGCGGCACCACCGCGTCACGGGCGCCGTGTGCCATGAACACCGCCAGCGGTGGCAGTGCTCGCTGCCACTCGGGCTGTCCGCGCCGCCGCGCCTTGGCGCTCGCCACGAGGGTGTGCAGCGGGAGGTAGCCTGAGAGGACGCCGACGGCTACCAGATGGCCGCCGCGATGCGGTGCGCCGAGCAACCGGGTCTCCAGCGCAGCAAAAAGGGCCAGCGCTGCGCCCATGGAGAAGCCTGCAACCAATATCGCACTTTGGGGAAGGCCCAGATCCTCTGCCACCTTGGCCACCATGGCCCGTACCATCTCGGCGCCGGCACGGATCGAATCGGCCGCCTGCGGCCCGTCGACCCGCATCGAGAGTACGTCGTACCACGCGGGGAGCGACATGCCTGAGGCAGCCGTCACCGCCATCGCTGGCGCGCTCGGAAGGACCACCGCCAGATCAGGTAGGCTCTCCTGCCAGCGAGCAGCACGGGCAGTCCACGCCCGGCCCGAGTCACCGAGGCCGTGGAGGAAGAGTAGAGCCTTGAGCGGCGGGCGCCCGGATCGAGCAGCAAGGACCAGGCCGGCATCGAGAGCGGCGGCGGCGGCGGCATCTGCCGCAACCGGATCGACAGGGGTGGTGGGCAGGTTGGGGAGGGCAAGCGAGTCGGCCTGCGGATCGTCGAGGACGGCAGCCATACGGGCCTCCTCCAAGCGGATGTAGTCCGGGTCGAGAGCAGCGGCGGGGTCAGAGCCATGAGGGCGGAACATCAGCCAGGCCACCAGAGCCATCAAAGCTGCGAGCACCGCACATGCTGTGATCACAACGGGGTCTTCCATGCGTAGGGGGCGGGAAAGGCGTGGGCGTGGGTGTCGAGTGGGGGAGTGGGCGTGGGCGTGGTGGGCGTGGAGTGTGGTGGGCGTGGACGGATCGTGCCGAAGGAGGAAGGGGGGGGGGGGGGGGGGGGGG